TGCCGATATCGTAAAGGTCACCCTTCGTGAACAATAACACGGTCTTGCTGGTCTTCCACTGAGTAGGGTTCTTGCATTCAGACAGGTAACGTGTGAAGAGCTTGGTCACTGTGTTTACGAGGACTGGCGGAAGGTTTTTTGGGTGCTGTGGTCTTATCCTGTGCGAACCTGGTGTTATTCGATTTTTCACCAACGAAATGGCATATCCGATTTCGGAAGGGAGAACCGGTGGTACAACATATCCATCGTCCTTTATTTCATATGACGGAAAGCGGACGTGGCTATCGAAGAGATCTGAGTAGTATTCGTGAATGATTTTCTCCATTGCCTTGCTGGATGCTGTAACTGTTCCATCTGCGCGTCGGAGTGCAATTATCTTGGTCATGTAATTGACGATGCTTCGGTGGGCTTTGAAGTGCTTTCCCCAGTCTCTGCAACTTCGACCATTACTGCTCCTCTTCTCTTTTTAAGATCTTCTTTTATCGCCTCTCTGCATTCTTTTGCAAGTTCGGACGTTAGTTCGCGGTTGCCTGCAGCTTGTGCAATTCCACGCTGGTGTATCAGCTCGAGTGATTCTGGAGACAGACTTGGTGACTTTCGAACTCTCAGCTTTCACAGTGCTAATATGAAGATGTTGCATGAGGCGATCGTATTCTTCGTCGATGTTATCAACAACGGCATCTTCCCAACAGCCGACTAATGAATTGAATAAGTCCCAGTTTGCGGTGGTTCTGGGACTTCGGTTTTGGAATTTAGCGGCTTTTCTCCTTTCTGCGAGAAATGGAATCTTGCACGAAGGAGACGATGGTCTGATCCCGTGTAGAATTTTGAGACAACAGCGACATCGGTTAGACAAAACCTATTTACTATGATGTGGTCTATTTCGTTATGGTTCTCTCCATTGTCAGACTCCAACATCCGGCGCTGAGGGTGGGGCTTCTGGAATTGCGAGTTACCATGAATTGTCTTAGTCACTATGATAAACTCAGATAGTCGCTCAGCCTTTTCGTTCAGTTCTAATCCGTGGGTCCCAATGTGACGTTCTTCAGACGTTCTTCTTGGTACAATCTTGGCGTCAAAATCTCCAATAATAACTTTGAAGAATGTACGATTTTCTCTGTAGAACTTCTCCAAGTCCATATAGAACGCTTCGACTTATTCTTCGTCATAGTTTGATGTCGGCGCGTAAACGACGAAGACTATCAAAGCTGGTATTGATCCACAGCTTTTTAATTGCAAAGCTATGATTCGGGTTGTGAGTTGTTCGAATGAATCGATGTTCATGGACAAACTCGTGTTGACGAGAACACCAATACCGCCGTCTCCTCTACTGTTGCATGTTCCGAGGAACAGTTCTTCTCCGGTGTCATAGACGGCGTTGAATGGGTGGCGTCGTCTCGTCTCGGCCACGCCGGTGACGCCGTACCTTAAGTATTTCGCTTCCATGGTCAAGTTTTCTATCGAGGCTTCCATGCAAGTGCATGTGCATAATAGGTACAGGTTTGCGCGATGCACTCAGCTTCCATTGGCCCTGAGATTGTAGCAGCGACTACGTATTCGTACAACCCAACGCCGCGAAATTGGGGCTCTTTTAGGGATCAGGAGAATGAGGCCGGTTTTTTTAAAACGTGTTTAGCATTTGGGAACTCACGTGTAGCTTGCTGGGCTCTGAACGTGGTGGCTGGATATACTCACGAGTAGCTTGCCAGGCTCTCCCAGAGTGGATATGGAGCTTATTTGTTGGAGGCGACTCCTAACCGCCTCACATATACTTCCCAGTCACTTGATTGCATGCTTTTGGCCGAATTAACTCGTAGAATACAATCCGCATAAACAATACAGAAATTCTGCGGCAAATTGGCGCAGCAGAAATGGGCGGGAAGCCCATCCCCTGAATCCACTTGCGTCTCAGCGAAGAAAAGGTCGCCTTTGGTGTGTGACTGATTTCCTATCCGCCACCTAGGGACGTGGCACGCGGCTAACCGGCATGACATGCCTCTCTGTGGGAGACGCTATGCGCTTCCTGTTTAGCATTTTGTTTAACTTTACGTTCATTGACGAGATGTTCTTTTATAAATACGTACAGTGGTCTACACGCTTCCTGCAATGCATTCGTCCCCGTTCGGCCCAAATAAACTATGCATGAACTCACCAATCACCATCATTACCTTTAATGCATATTTTGCAATTTTGCCTTGTGCCCCTACAGTCGCATAGGCGGTTACGAATTAGATGGCATCCTAAAGTGTCCAGTAACATTTCTGTTACTTACTTACTTGATACTTGAACGGCCCGTCCTCGCTGGTTGTGCGGGCCCCAGGGCAATCACCATTTTTCGGAGATTTGCTGGTTAAGCCATTATGGTTCCCTGGAGTCCCGAGCTCAGCTTGGCCAAATCTGCCCCAGGTCTTCACTACCACGGGCAGTCGCAGCCCTTGTGGATCAGAGGGAGATTTGCCACCATGCGACTTTGGTACCAGGGCGGTGGCAAACCCTGGCATTGGTTTACTTTAGCTAGGCTTCCTGATGGAAATAGGCATTTTTGTTACTGTTACCAAATTCTCTAGACCGGTCCTTCCTGAGCAACGTTTTGTAGCTGCACTTATTTCGTTGGGAGTGAACGGCCGGACAAAAGGGATTTTATTCTCGTTAGAATAATCGTTTGCGGATGCAGATTTTCCTCTACGTTTGGGTTCCTTTTCTTCTACATACAGTTATCGCAAAGAGGTGCAGCTCCGTAGCCATTGGAAATGGTCATTTTCAACCCCAATTTTAGGAATTCTTCCTTCTGCTCTCTTCCTGCATACATAGTGGTGGCTGTTCGAATCATATTTCTCAAAAGGGTCCTTTTTCTGTGTGAGAGAAGAGGAGAGAAGTAATGAACCAGTATGTTTTTACCAGTTGGTTTCCGGTACCACCTGATGATGGTGTCGTTTTCGGACAGGTGAATTTTTTGACCTCAGCCAGGCAAATTCCTTGCCCATGTAACCTCTGTGCAGCTGGTCTTCACAAAATAACTGGAAGACTTATAAGAAACAAAATGATGAATCGTATATAATGCTGAGATATTTGCAAAACTCCGGACCGCAGGTGTATGCGGTGGGGAACGAACGCGCTATTGACCTTACCGGGGAGTAGAGCACTTCACCACCACACCATCCGGGGCCTTCCTTTTTCCTGTCTCTCAGCTAGCTCTATCGATCTTTTGTTATCAGCTATTACCCGTCAACGGGATTGATTTGGGGAGCCCAAATCGGCATTGAACCCAGTTAAGCTGAGGCGTAGTTATAATCACAATCTTATAATATAATATATAATATACATATATAATCAAGAAAGAAGAGAAAAAGCAGTAAATAAAAGGGTTAAGATTGTGATTATAACTAAGCCTCAGCTTAACTGGGTTCAATGCCGATTAGGGCTCCCCAGATCAATCCCGCTGACGGGTGATTGCTGATGGCAAAAGATCAATAGAACTAGCTGAGAGACAGGCAAAACGAAGGACCCGGATGGTGTGGTGGTGAAGCGCGCTACTCCCCGGTAAGGACAATAGCGCGCCCGTCCCCCACCGCGTACACCTGTGGTCTGGAGTTTTACAAATATCTCAGCATTATATACGAGTTATATTTCGCAACATACCCTGCCATTAAAAAGAAAGAAAAGGAATAAATAAAAGGGTTAAGAAAATGATGAATGTTTAAGGGAAGCTGCTGACTGAGTGGAATGCATGTCAGTTCTGCTTTTCCAAGCTCTGAAGAAGCCGAAACCGCCAAAACCTTAGCTATTGCGATGAAGTAAACGCTATAATAACAATTTCATGTTTGTCTACGAAGAAAACGATGAATTATAGATCAAGCCCGAGGTTAGAAAAAGATCGGTCCTGCGATCGAGAGTGAGTCGTAGGTAAAAGCATCTTGTGCAGTGACGTTTTGACAATTCCTAAGACCGACTTTCTGTTAACCTCGGTATTGATTGATAATTCGATGCTTTTTCATCAATAAGCAGACACGAGGTTGTTATTATAGAATCTATTAGGTCACAATAGCTGACGTTTCGGCGATTTCGCCTTCTTCAGAAGCTGGAAAGGTTAAATTGAGATGCGATCTACTCAGCCAAACACTTTCATAACCCTAGCAGATAAACCTTGACAAATAAGCCTGTATTCGAATAAGAAACAGCTTCATTTAAACACCTACCGTTTATTTGTTGTAAGTATTTACGTTAGTTGGTGGATAGCAGCTGCCCAGAGAAATACATAGACGAGGACTGAACCTGGAACAGGTCATTGAATCAACCCGAGGTACGGCGCGAGGTTACGCGTGATAACAAGACACTCCTCCTTGCGGTTCATTTTTAAATTTTTGGAGTTGATCCAAAACGCTTCAAGAGTTTTACGCGCTGATGTTTTCGATTCGTGCGTGAAGATGGTGACTCCTACTTCAAGATCTTCTCCGTTATGTTCCTGCATCCTATGCGCGCCTAGTGGAGTGTTTGGTTTTAATTTAGATTTACCGACTAGGTATTCTTTTATGCGGACGCAGAGCGGTCTCTGCCCGTTTCGCCAACGTATTCGTTCCCGGCACGTTTTACTAGAGATCGGATAGACTGTACCCGAACTCATTCAATCTCCATCTCTACCGTTAGGGCAAATTATGCAGTTTTTCGTTATACGTAGACGGTCATATGGGCGGTTGCGAACTAGCTGGCGTCTTAAAGTGTCCGATGGTATTTCCATCACTCTTACGGAATTCTCTAGGCCGGCCCTTATTAAGCTACGTTTTATAGCTGCATTTATTTCGTTCGAAATAAAGGACAAGAGCAATGGAGCTTTATTTTCGCTAGAATTATCGCTCTGGGGCGTGGTTTTTCCTCTATGCCTATGCCGAGAAGCTACAATGTCGTAACCATTTCAAATGGCTATTTGGCGCGCCACTTTCAAGGATTCTTCCCTCTGCTCTCTGCCTATGAACCGCTATATTCTCCCTGCTTGGTTTTAGATACTATTTTGTGATGTGGCCGTTTTCGGACAGGTTAATTTGAACGTTTAGAAACGGAAGCCAGTTTTCTTTCGGTTTCTCACGGGTGAATTTTATGTACTCTGACTGTTCGTTCGATAACTCAAAGCGTTTGTCCATCGCCTCTTGTGTGGAGCAGATGACAAAACGATCATCTAGATACCTACAGTAGAGCAATTGCTTGAGATCGATTACTAGTGCTTCCGCTTTAGACATAAAGGCAACGGCATGGGTTGGTGCCAGTCGCTGTCCCATTGCCAACCCTCTTAATTTGCGCGTAATATTTCCCGGGCCATCTCAGGATCGAGCAGTTTAAACAGACCTTTACGAAGACCATAAGCTGGTGAGTCGAAAAGCCATACATGTTAATTGCTGCTTCGTGTTGCTCAAGAAGCTCGCGGATGGTTTCCATTGCGGAGTCGTTCGACACGACACGTTAGTGTAAAGAGCGGTAACGTCAAACGACTCCATAACGTGCGCGCTTTTAGGACGTACGTTGCGCCCACGGTCTAGGAACATTTGGGTGTTCATGAGAGGGGCTGGTATGTGCTTAAGCAACTGATTGAGGATTATATTTATAAACCAAGCAATTCTATCCGTAGGCCCGTCTACACAACTGATGATGAGTCTAACTTTAAAAGTGGAGGGGTTTCGACAATTTGCGCCAATAATCGTAGTCTACTAGCTTCTTGTATTGGTAACAAAGTGATGAAAAGATTGAATGACTTGATGAAAAGAAATGAACAAATTGAAAGTAAGGAATATGGTACGAGAAAAATGTGGACAAATTCGAAATGCGTTGCAACGTTGACGCGGCGCGTATGGCCATCACCACTGATGCCCGTCTTCTTACGACGGCTTGCGTTGCTCCGGAAGTTCTGAGAAGCCTAAGAGATTTGCTGGTTCTGTTTTCGTGTTCCATAGCATCGGCAATCTTCACCGCTCAGCACCTTGTGGGCTTTTCCGAGATAGTGAACTCTTCTGGTAAAACTCGTAAACCGCTTAATTCGTTTTGGTGGGTTGAATTCCCCTTGTGGTATCGTAGATTGTGACTTACTATGCTTTATAGATAGTCCATAGCTTTAGTCCTTGTACAATGACACTGTTCAGAGTAGAGTAACGTGGAGTTGACAAGTTTATGCCGTTGATCAGTTTTCCCCCAAAGAAGTTACTTGTGTTTATATGAGTTCCTTTGTATCCTCTTCTGAAACTATCCTCATGCAATCTTATATGTGTGAACCTCACGATTTCTTAGCTTGTTTACCAGGTAGACGTTGATTTCAAAGTTGGGACTAAGGAGGCTAAAGGGTTTAGCCTTTAGAAAGTTTTTTTGTTACTTTCAGAGTGGAAGACCGTCCACTGTGTTCTGGTGGTGGTCATGAGCACCGTACGAAAAATTGCCGACGCGGCAGTAAAAAATCGTACCCAGACGCCGTTTTGGAATTGGCTTCGGAATAAATTACTTGCCGTTGATCGTTTACCTATTACTCCACCTCCAGGACTTCCCACACCCGATGGAAAGGTTCGATCTCATCCGGAATATCTTACGAACTATCCTTTTCTGAGCGGACACGAGCTTTTCAACACGTATTTTGATCATAGATAGTTAGTGTTCCGATGATTTCACTTTTTCTAGAGCCTTTTGTTTCTTTCCTCCAAAGAGAGGAAAATGGCTTTGAAGAGCAAGAAGTGAGCGAAATGTTAGCTATCGACGATCAAAATGCGTGTTGACAACCTCCTGTCAGCTCAGAAAACGATAGTTCATAAGGCAGTGCATGTTAATTTATACTGAGGTTAGTCGAAAGGTGCTAATTCGGATTATTTTTCCATATCTTTTTACTGAAAGGGCGCGTGTTGCGCAATAGTCGGAGTCGCCCCGAAATAGACATGGGATCGACCGCTGCTCCTAAGGCTCGTCTTCCATCCCACCAGGGTCGGCAGATTGGTACCAGACTTGTCAGGGAGGATAACAGCACTGGCTGGATACATCGGCAGGCCACCGCGAGTCATTGTAAAGCCCAGATATGCATTCAGTCACCTCCAACGATGCTCAGTGAAATCGAATGTAAGGCGCATCCCTCAGGGAATGATCAACGCCGAGAGCTTTAACCTTTATTCTTTTTTCTTCTTCCTTTGTTCAGCATTCACTTAGTGGGCACTGATGTCGGAGGATTATTTCGTGTGAGCTTCTTTCATCCCGAAGAGCCACTGTAGCCTTTGTTAACCCTTATGCGACGACGTTACCACTATAGGAGTCGTAAGATGTGGAAAACAGTAACCACTAATATTCCCGGCAAACCAGCTTCTTCGTGAAGGGATCTAAGTAATAACTCTCTTTTTTCCTGCTCCTTGGTTTTAATCCTTCTAAGAGCATATTAAATACTGCTTTGCCAGTAGCCTCGACCTGCTATGTTTTACGTTCACTTTTGGATTAGAGTGCATGCTACATCTCTAGAACTTTATTCAAGATATATTCGTTAAACGTCCAAGGCAATAAAGAATAAAAATAAAGCTCTCGGCGTTGATCAATTCCTGAGAGATCCGCCGATACGCCATACATTCGACTCCACTAAGGCATCGTTTGGAGGTGATTAAATACATATCTGGCCTTTACAGTGACTCTCGGTGGCCTACCGATGTATCGAGCCAGTGCCGCTAGCCTCTCTGACAAGTCCTATAGCAATTTAGTGACTCCGGTAAGATGGAGGGCTTGGTGAGCCTGAGACGTGGGAATCGATGTCATTGGTGCAGCGCGCCTCCGAGCACTGCGCTGCACGCGCTCCTTCCAATGCAATGAGCCCCTAAAATTTTCATTAATTCTCTCTGCTTGCAATAAACAGCGAATTTCGTATGTTTTCCAATAACGCATTCAAGACATGAAGTTATAAATCCCATGACCGACTTTCTGTTAACTTCGGCATTGACCAAGTAATTCTTCGTATTCTTGTTGTGCAAACACAACAAGAATACGAAGAATTACATGAAGTTAACATTCATATGGTTCATGCCATTTAGGCTGTATATCACAATCCATTGCGTTTTCCAAAATCACAATCTGCTCGTCCGGGATCAGCTGAGCCACCTTCTCTGCCGGGTGGAGTTCATCATTTGTTGGCCGAAAATTATTACTATACTAGGTAGGACTTCTGCTCTTTCATTAGAATGTTTTTCCAAGTTTGATGAAACTTCAATAAAACGTAACCTTTGACTTTTTGAATGTATTCTTTTTCACATCATTGTTATGTTCTTCCTCAGAGATGGTCGTCGTGAAGTATTACCCCCATATCCTTTATATAAAGCAGACTCTCATCATGTACAGTATGGAGCGTTTACAGGTGAAAAGCTCGCGTAAGTGCTTAGTTTACCATTTTGTTCTCTTTCTTTCAGTGGATCATCTGAGTTTCAAAGAGTCCATCACTTATACATGGTTGACATCGGTAGATTTCCTTCTCGATTCTACTAGTCGACGAGTTCCGCACCATATAATTGCACCGCTTATAATTTTTCCAAAACAGTGGGCACTAAAAGGATAAGGCATAAAGCTCCTGGTGTCGATAAATCCCTGAGGCATGGGCCGTGCATTTGGGACAATAACATCCGGTATCCTTTTGTGTTGTCTTCAGTTTGCTCATTCATTTCGAAGTGGGTTCGTTTAATGTTCTACCACTGTGATAAATATGTGCCACTGTATCTGTTCTTCATGTTTGATTTTAGTTGGGCGTTAAGTGTTGGAGGAACATCGTCATTTAAATGTTAATACTGTTGCTTATGAAGTGCTCTCACTGATGAGGATGAAATAGACAACTAGCACTATCTCATTTATTTGTAAGATCATTCTTTAAGGTCTCCATCACTAGCAAAAATGAAATTACCTTCTTGACTGAACTTGATGGGACGTGATACAGTTTGGTGCATTCATTTTCCAAATCATGGGATTTTGAACATCACAGGTCTAAGCGACTGTAAAGTAAACGTGCAAAAAAATCCGTGAAGCAATTGTGTTTTATCACTCGTATTTTAGCGACAAGGGTGCCGTCCAGGTAAACAAAGGGCCATCCTCAAACTTTGGATTAGAGGCGCCTACACCAGGATTCGGCTACGAATGGAAGCGAACACGATCAGATGAACTGGAAACGCCAAAAAGCGATCCAGATTTGGCTCGTCTTGAGCGCTTTGATAGATTTGCTGCTAGCAAGTAGATTGACTTCTTAATATTGATATTTGCTACTGTAGCTAGAGTATAAACCGAAATACTGAAGAGTGCTGATCTGTTTGTTTCTGGAATGGTTTTAATCCTACTTCGTTATCCTGCATAACTTTTTTTTTCTGTACTTAGGTGATCTGTTTTCACACAGGTGACCAAGATGCGCATCTCTGCACTTAGCATGGGGAAGCATTTTGGAATGCTTGGAAAGGTAGGTCTCATCGTCAGTGTTTGGAACGGTGTACAGCTGTTTCTCAGCCCTGATTTTCTTTCTGTACTTAACTTTTGTAACAAATTAAAGACCTCTTTCGCTGTCGATTTTAGATGTACGGTGAGCATCGATTTGCTCTCGCTCCAAATGAGCAAAAAGCGTTTAAAGGTTTCATTAACGATGCCTTCATAAAGGTTGGCGAAGTCCTTTTTTTGTTTTTTGTTCTTTTTTCACCACGTTCCTTCTGTTCACTTCGTTAAGAAGCCAAGTAACTGTGTGAAGGGTAAAACCTGTGGCGCTGGTAAATATCGACGCGAATTGTACGTGCGCGACACATTCAGCTCCTTTAAACATTTTAGAGGTGACTGGGTGCATATTTGACCTATAACAGTCTGATGTGGCCTAGCGGGTTCATTAAACCAGATTTCCTGTCCTCCCTATCTACACTGCTATCAAAATCAAATTGCAACAATGAAGGAATGGAGAGTCCGCTTGTCAAAGATTTTTGGCTCTGGAAGTTGCCACCAGATTTGCCTGGGAAGGTAAAGACATCGACTTGGTATATTGGTAAAACTTAAGCTCCCACAAATCATCTGGCTAAGATATGTCATCTCTACGATGACTTATGGAGCCGAATTCATGGTTGCACATGTAATGAACACTGATACTCCGAATTATGACATTGAGGTCATCTTTTCTGTGGAGCGATTCACCCAGTTTCAGTAGAGAAAAAAAACCAGTACTTTTCCATATATGGGAAGGCAACATTGTGACATCTACCATTCTTTATTGTCTAACAACGATCACAGCGCGTGTAGCGCACTGGTACGAGCCCTGAAACACACATGGGGGTTGATCTCCGCGCCCCAGGCTCACCGAGCCCTATGGGGTCGGAAAATTGACAGACTTTTCTGGGAGGATAGCAGCACTCGCTCGAAACATCGCTATGCCACCATAATTCATTGTAAAGGCCACATATGCATTAAATCACCTCCAACGGTGCTTAGTGAAGTTGAATGCATGGCGCATCCCTCAGGGATTGATCAACGCCGAGAGCTTTATCCTTTACCCTTTAACTACGATCATAGGTAATCACTGTATGAAGACTTGAACATTAAACCACGTACAAAATCGTGTCTTTTCAGGTTTTCAAGTCATATGTTTGGTACCAGTGGTACTATTACATTCCTCAAGCGATTGCTGCTTATCTTATATACGACTGGGCAAAGAAAGCCAACTACAAAGCTGGAAGGAAGAACCCAGCTCTTTATGCTAATGATAAGTAATGCATAATTTGGACTTGAGCACTATTCATGTAGACGATTAAAGTATAGGTTTTAATGAAATTTCATATGAAATCTATTTATTTTTGAAGAACACTGAAAAAGGTCATATAGGTAGTGTAGTTTTCCCACTACATGCGACAAATTGGTAAATTTTAGGAAAAGTAGAATATTCGCTCTGTTTTTTACATCCTATTCAGTCTGGAATAAATGAAGTGGTTAAGTTGTTCAAAGTGGAATTTTTGATATGTTACTACGCTAACTTATAAATCTTGATATTTGATACTTGAACGGCCCATCCTCACTGGTTATGCGGGCCCCAGCATTTTTCGGATACTTGCTGGCTAAGCCATTGTGGTTTCCCGGAGTCCCGAGGTTAGCGTAGCCAAGGTCTGCCCCAGTTTTCGCCACCACGGGCAGTCGCAGCCGTTGTGGATCAGAGGGAGATTTGCCAGCATGCGACTTTGATATACTCTTAGCTAGACTTCCTGATGGAAACGCTGGACTGCGCTTGGAAGACGCTGCCGGAGGACGAATCCCCGTTGCACATCCGCAATCCGACACCCATGAACACCCAGCCATGATGAGGCGACAAACCGTTGGGAAGGACTTATAAATCGTACAACAATAGTACATTTAAAGGCTTATGTATAACGTCGAAGTTCACCTATCGCTAATGTGTATAGTTCTTTTACACGCACTATATGTTCAGGGTTAAAAGGCTTTGCAGTCAATTGAACCACTGCCTACCTTCATAGGCAGCAGTCTTTCGTGTCGAACTATCATATGAAGTTCAAAATTTCCATATAAATAACAAGCTAATGCTAGATATGTGCTGTTCAGAACTTTTGCTAGTTAATTGCTTATATCTACTCGTTAGTAAAACATAAACAGTAGAAGTTAAAGTAGTGAGCATCGCATCAAAATTGTGCTCTGATGCTTATGGTAAGGTCGCATTCCATTGTTCTACTGCGCTTAAGTCACTCCTTGTCATATCCACAATAGGTATATATGTGGGCAAAAGTAATTTGAGACTTACACTATCAACAGGCGCTTCCTACCCCAAAAGGTACAAAGAATACAGCCTTCGGCGTTGAACAATGCCTGAGGAGTATACCTTGCAGTTGACCCCACTAATATCATTGAACAGGTTATTAAATGAATGTTTGGCTTACACAATTACCAGGGCCTACTGATTAAGTCAGCGCTCTTGTGAATCCAGGAAACTAGCACTACCGCACCCTGAGATAGAGAAACCTTGGTTAGCAGGAAGCGTGGGAGGGAGCCCATATTTGTGTTGCAGAGCACGCTTCAACTATTACGCACAATTTAGCTCATAATCTGCTTTATTAAATGACTTCTTCCTTATTCTACTGCGACTAGGCTTTGATATTTGAAGCGTCATAAGCCTTACTTTCCTCTTTGTCAAAGCTGATATTTCGATCAGCGGAATGAATGAAGAGGCGGGGTTTAATCCATTATGAGAGGGTGATGGGCAATCGTATTTTGCCTCGTTCATGTTAAGGTTTTAGGGGTTCGAATTTCAGATTTCTGGTAACTAAAATTGGGTTTAGAATTAAGGTAAACCTTTAGGAACATAGGCATGCACTTGTACAACTTATCGACGAATAACCAAATTAGATTCTGTATGTTTAATTAAGTATAAATTCTTCAAATGCTCTACTTATTGAGGAACTGCCGATTGTTGTTATATGATGAGCTTTATTTCTAATGTGTTAACTTTTGCATGACCGTGCATCTTGATTTCTATGCGCACCTCAGGTGCGCCTCGATAACAACCCTTCTGGTAGCCCGCCCACGCGCAGATGGCCTCGGTGGTGAACGAGGTGAACCTTTTGTATTGTAACAACTATTTAATGCCTAGGGTTGATCGAAACTGCTTAGCTTTCAGTATTTCAGGTAGATACATTACTTTCTTCACCAAATAACACCTTGTTGACTCTGTGTAATCAAACGGTAGCTTATCGAACACAGATTTTATTTTGGGGCTCGTCTATTGGCAGGTATTCTTAGTTATACTTGCAAAGAGCAGTTCGGACGGTGCAGTGGAAACGGAGGGTGTAAAATACATGAAGAACACACAGAAATGCGCTTCAACTATCATACTAAACCATGCGGAGAGCTGATGCAGCATGGTTAGGTAATGGGCGATTATTTTTTCTTTTTCATCACACACAAGGGTTAAATCACGTACAAGAGATGTCCAAGAACATGGGAATATAAGCAGTAGAACGTAACGGATATTTAGAGGTTAGAAAGAATGGAAAATGTGAGGTAACAACGGTAACCTCGGATTACTGCGTCGTGCATTTTGAGCGGACTTGCGGACTGTACGTCTTCATTTCAATGCACATCTCAATTGCGCGCACATGATTTGCAGTCATGAGAAGGTTAGCGGGATTACAAATGGATTAGCTATTATCTAAGCATAAAGCGCCACATTTTCGATACATAGAACCATTTGTCGTTTATGGGATTACTGTACATAGAAGTCAGTGTTTTCTTCTTCAGCAGACACACACGAACCTCTTAATAACACGATCTATTCGATATGGTATTGGCTGACGTTCTGGAGAATTTCGCTCAGTTTGAGGAAATGTGGGGGAGTACGCGTGATAATGAGGCGTTCTTCCCAGCTTTTCAATTTTGCATTCATGGAATTTATCCAGAATGTCCCGAGGGTTTTACGCGCTGAAGTCTTAGATTCGTGTCTGACGATGGTAACTTTTACTACGAAATCTTCCACGATATGTCCTTCTATTCTATGCGTTCTTGGTTGAGTATCTCGTTTTACTTCAAGATCCTCGAGTAGATGTTCTTTCAGAGGCACGCAAAGCGTTCTATGTTTTCCGCCACAAATCATGCACTTATATGTCACACATGGACGGTTGTAGAAGCGGTCACGAACTAATGTACATTTTAACGCCTTCATTGTACATGTAATACAATAATTCATGAGATCTTCATGGAGTTGCGAGCTGCACATCCACTGTTTTGCATAACGTCAGTTTGATCCAACGTTAATGAAAGAACCATACAGTTCACGATGTCTCGCAAGAAAGACGACAAAGTTTATCATCGTCTGAAAATGCAATGTGGTAAGAACAGTGGAAAACTTGCAAGGCTTGTTCCGAACGTGCTATTTCTGTAATACTTTCCGATTCCTAACATGAGCTTATAAAATCTCCCGTGTTTTGGTCGGAAATTGCGAGTGTGAAAGCGGTAGAAAAACGAAAGTGTTTGGATGAATGGAGTCTGTTTTCAGACTTCCGATATAAAATTACTGTTAAAATTATGACATTAATCACTATTCAATGACACATAGGTTCAATTTATAATGATTTCTGACGAAATGATGTTGACATATTTCAAATGTGGACAATATACTCGGACCAATCCGGCTTTGACGAAGGCAAGGGTCCCGAAACGTAATCCGGATAAAGTGTTTTGTTAATCTCGTGTTAGTCCATCGATGAAGAAATTACAAGGATATGTCGACCTTGTGATGGACATCGGTGCAGATCGAACTCGATAACGTGCGCGCCTATTGAAAAACTTCATCTTACTGAACTAATTTTGTATTGGTTTTGAACTACAGTATGGCACCATAGGACGTTTAACTCCACCTGAGATTTGTACTTTATGCGAGATCTTCATATAGGGAAACAAAGTTGATAGTTCATCATTACCTTGTTCAGCATTAATGAATACAAGAAAAACCTTGTCGTAACGCTGCCGTTCGGAATACTAAATTGAATCATAATATCTGGTATCAGTAACAAAAGCACAGCACTCAGTGTAGTTAATCCTGAAAAGATATTCAGTAAGGCGATACATTAAGATCTCCCAAAAGTTTATCACCCTATAGTGGTCACCATGTCTTCTGGGTAATGGGGTACGGAGGTCCATCCCTCTGATCAGGTATCCCATCCTGAGAAGGAGTCCGACGTTTCCATCCAGAAGGCCAGTTAACAGTAAACCACTGTCAGGAATCACCGCCGTATTAGTATGAAATTAGCCGCAAGGTGGCGAACTTCGCTCTGATCCACCTGGGCAGGCGAGTGCCTGTGTCTGTTGGCGACATGAGGAAGGCCTCCGCAAGGTTGACCTCCGGACTACAAGAGAACACATACGCTCAACCAGCAATACCAGTGAATGGCGATCAAATTTTTGGTTGCACGTGACGTCACTGGAAACGGACAAATGAGCAAGGTGATGACGTACCATGGAGAGTGCTTCTTGCTATACACCTATAGCAAAAGAACAGTATTAGACGCTGATCACTACGCTCTTGTTTAAGTCGCTGGTTGCACCAATCCCAAATGATCGCCCGAAAAGAGAGGAAAAGCAGGGAGCCCGAAATACGTTAATTAGTCGATGAAACCCTTGTTATTCACAGAGGGAAATTCCTGTTACAAATGCCCGAAGCGTTGGAATCGTTGCAAACTCGTCTTTTCTCGCTATTATCACTTCGTAAGAGCTCCTTTTACCTCACTTGAACATTCTTCGTTTCCAAATTCCACATCAAAAGGAAAAAAATCAGGAGATCAAGCGCTGCTACTCAACAACTTGTTGAGCTGATGAAAGCGAAGTAGATGCGTTCTACAACCAATTGGAGGTAACCTATAACGAAAACAATGGGAAACGAAAAGACCCATAAATAAATTCATTACCGAAGACTTCGATATCAGATTAGGAGCGGTCAACGAAAATTAATGAGGGAGATGAAAATTCGGAATAGATGCTCGCAGTGCGTCTCTTCCATGAAAATTCATTTTTCGAGGATAAGGATACTAAAGGATAAAGCTCCCGGTGTTGATCAATATTTGAAGGATTCAGGATGCACCATGCATTCGTCTTCATTAAGCATCGTTTGGAGGTGATTGAATCTATATTCGGCCTTTACAAAGACTCGCAGTGGCCTACCGATGCATCAAACCAGTGCTGCTATCCTCCCAGATAAATCTGGTACCAATTTGCCG